AATAAAAATGGTCCGGTGATAAAACTATATCTTAACTAGCTGTACCCGCGGTTTAACCCACGTGAAATTTATAGCCTATATATTATTATTATTATTCTGATGTGTAAGCTAAATTACTCTAAAGTTTCATTAAAATCCATTCAGTAGTTTAGCGTGAAAGTGTAACAAACATCCATCCATACTGACAAACTTTAGGGTTTATAATATTAATAAGATAGATATATAGGAACATATATAAATACATCTGAATGTAATGTATGTTACATTGTCTGGAAAGATACACACTATTTTTTTAAATAGTTAATGAAATTGAAATAAAGTGAATTTCCCTGAGGTAGACCATAAGAAGTGGTCTACGTGGGTACCTGAGTCTCGCCTATTTCAGGTGCTAAGCAGCTTGCTTTGTATTCTGCGTCTAGGCTGAAGGGTAGGGATAAGGCAATGACAGTTTAATGAAGCACATCTTAATACTCCGCAAAGGCAACGCATGAAGTTACTGATTTAGATGATGAGGATCTGTGTCCTTAACAGATGTTAGCTATCACTCACAGACAAGTGGCCAGTTAACTTGTTTCCCATTAAATTAACATAAAAAAGAAATCCACAAGACAATACAATTTTATTTACAACATCATTGTTATGACTAGAGCGGGATCACTACAGAATTAGTAAAAAACAAGGAATAATTTATGTATATATAGGACTAAAGAGGGCTCGCAAGATGGTTGAAAATGAATATAAAGAAATCAAAATTAATATAAATATTTATAAAAAGAAAGGTGGACAAGCTACCAAGAATGTAAATAAAATATATATACATATACCTTTTTATATATAATATATCCCAACTAATTAAAACATTATTATTAGTCTTAACAGTCTTGGTGGTCTAGCAATTTAACATGGTATGTTAAAATGCTTTACTTACGATGGTCGCAGGTTCGGTACAAAAATTTCTATTCATGAGTATGATTGTTTGTATTGGTCTAGGTGTTCTCTAAATAATATGTATATTTTAGATTACATTACAGAAATAATGCGTGTACGAATTTCTATCAGTAGAAGAATGAACTGGATGGTAGGTAAAAATATTAATACCAATTATTAATTCCAAACTCAAATCAAATCAAATCCAAAACTCATTTATTCATGTAGGACTTACATGAATAAATGAGTTTTGGATTTGATTTGATTTGAGTTTGGAACTACATGGCGTTGTATGAATGTTCCAGGTTTATTATTATTATTATACTGGTAATAATAACAAAACGCTCGTGAATCTAAATAAAAGGTATCATTTAAAATGCTACATGACAAATACCAATGAATCAGAAATTCTCATGAAGACAAAGCGGCGCAGGCGCAACCACATGCGGCGCACATTTCATATCCCTCCCGCCCCCACCCCGAGCCCCACGTAACAACACCCTGCCGGTAAAGCCACTGAAAAAATTGACCATAACAAAATAAATGGTCCTTATTAGTCCACATATAGAGTTTGAAATAATTTCAAATAATTCTCAATGGGACCTTTTTTATTAAGTATATTAATGAGGTTAGTGACCTTATTTTCATCTGTTCACGTATTTATTTGCTTTTAAAGAAATTATTTGTCTCCTTGGATTGACGTGGAGTTTACTACCCAAGCTTATATTCTTGGCCGTGAGTTTGAGTCTTGCCTACATTAAAACACATTTGCGTGATATATCACTGTGATATAACACTGATAACAAATTATATTATGAGACTAGTTATTAGAAACTATGAGACGGTATTAGGTGTTTCCTTGTCATGTTGAATTTAAGTATAGAAACTACATCGATAGTTCATAATGCTTCTTTCTATTTACCTCATTGGACACAAACGTTATTTTAAATGTACAATATATTGTCTTCGGATTCGTTTCAGTGTCTCAGTATTATAACAGTATACGCATCAATTATAACTTTGTTTTTAATATAAACATAATTGCTATACTTTCAATAACGAATAAATGAAATATAGAAATATAAAAACATCAAATAAATAAATATTAACACTGCTGTAAACCCTAATTTTTTTTATTCAAGGCGACTTTGCGATTGTTTACCCTCCTGCTCTAACAATATACGCTTGGCGGGGCACCAGTGGAGGGTGATGGGATTAGCTTGAAGTCATGTCAGTGTACCCATCGTGGTAATTCGACAGGTTTTTAGAAAGGATCGCGTATAGGATGACCTTCAAGATGATGATGATAATGATCATGGTACACTGCTAGCAGTGGGCTACTATCCCTATTACTAACACCCCCTCCGCAATGATAAGAGTAATTCCCAGGCATCATAACTACATTTCACTGAAACGAATGTGTTGGATTGGATGTGGGTATTTGTTTTTTGTCGGTGTTTCCATCATTGGAGAGTTAATCAGAAAAGACAAAGAATGTTTTTAGTATAAAAATTATAGTTCTTCAGTGGCGTTCTCACCTACATGTTGCCCACCTTAATGAAAGAGAACTGGCCGAAGCTGGTGGTACATGGCAAATTGCCGTCGTCAGTGCCGTGACCACAGAGAGGATTTATATTTCATTATTATTACATATGTATGTTAATCTATAAGGTATTTGTGATATGCGCCATTAGTAACCTGAAATAAATAAACTAAAATAAATAAAAATAGGCTGTTGTTCACTTGTTTTTTTAATATAATATTACGGTTACAAGGTCTTGAAAATGAACCGATGGTTTACAAGGACTATTTATAATTTAGGTGTATAATTACTTCTTCAATGTCTCGGTCGACAGTATTGATTTGTAATTTACATTATAAAATATGTAATCAATACCACACATGTCTCGTACATCCGTATAGCAACGTTTGTTGTAGGCGTGTTAAGTAATATGTACTTATTGCTACAGTATTAAAGTTCTATATCACATACACAAGTTTCTAACTCATTCCTCTTGAGTGAACCTGCATTCAGATGGGCGGTAGAATTAGAAAATAGTATTAATATAAGTACTCACATTATATTTATTTGCATAAAAAACTTTTTCATACTAATGTTTAGACTATGTACTAGATTCATAATAACTTAATAACTATATATAAAATATATATGAAAGAATGAAGGGATCCATGAGACAAAGAGGACAATATGGACTGTGCCTTAATCTAGAATGGATAGTTACTCGATTGAGATATTGCTGGCAACAAAACGACTGATATAAATACTTAAATTCACACATACATAGCAGTCATATACTAAACATAAAGGATTAATACTAACCAAGACAGCGAAGTGTCTTTATCATCAGATTAAGAAACTCTGGACTTTCTTGTTGAGTTTAAACCATCTGGTTTAAAACAGTAGGTACCCATTGCCATAGCTCACTTAGTGAAGAAGGACCTCACTAACTCTGTTACTTCATCCGCTGGTAAAACTGTCACACGCTTTGTCCTTTGTATTTTTAGTTACACTGGAGGTCGCTCAATGGTCGATATTCGGCCAAAATAAGGAACACAAAAAGATCTTTGAACCAGCAATAACAATTAAAGAAGTGTAACAGTTGGAAGAATGTGTAATGTTTTTTATATTGATTCTACGTGTTTTTTATGTCCTATTTAAAAAATATATTTGCATTCTTCAGTCCTTCTCTTTATAAAATATAAGTGTGTATATACAATATAATTTTCGTAAAAAGGGGTAAAAACTTATAATACAATACAATTATAGAAAAACATTAAAACTTGATAATAATAATAGTATAAAACCGAATGTTACGTACCTATAAGTCAATGTTATGATTTCAAAAGGCACCAGATATAAGTATTATAATCACAAAGATAGCAAATAATATCAATGATAATCAGATTATACTGACATCTGAATTGAGAGTTGAAAAGATTATCAAGGAATATTATTATTTATCAATTTACTAGAAATTTGCCGCGACTCCTTCACGTGATCACTGTAATGACTGTCTGCAGTAAAATGTAACGTATTCATTCCAAATACTAGGTATACCAAATAAAATTTGTAGATTTTGCTAAACAGAAGAGGAAACGTAGACAGTATATTCTGAGGAGACAAAATCCATCGCTCCTAAGAATAACCTTCATATCTTGTCCCTGACGGACCTAGGCCTAGCGAACTTTGAACAAAGGGCGATCACGTTAGATCTATGTAGATCACAGTGCTACAGGTCTTAATACTTGACAGTAGCTGAAAACCCTCAATACAAAAATAGATTAAATATCTTGAAGACAGGTTGATTCGTTTAGGTAATATAAAAGCAACAATTAAAAATGAAATCGAAACCAGCAAAATATGCATTACAAATGCCGAAATTAGTACACCAGATCAAAGCTGATCGATTATAATGAAGTCCATCAAAATTTCTTTAGAATAGTTTAAGATTTTGTAGAAGATAAATTAATGAATTTATACACGCAATGTTATGAAATTATTGTTCAAAAATAAATATTCAAGATGTTTCAATATACCCTAAAATGTTTGGTTTAAAAACTAGAAATTATGTATATATAACTGAATAGATATAATATTCAACGGCAGCTGGGAAGGTAAAAGCGCTTCCTACTACTACTACTACATACACATTGCTTCTCAATTAATGATTAATATAAAATATATAAAAATATTAAAACGTTCATCATGCTAATAATTTCTATAAGAACTTTTATTATAGAAGTTATTAGCATGATTTATATATAACGTTATTTATTGACACTTATATTTTACTCGTTTTTTAAAGGTGATTAAAAATATAATTAATAATTTACTTAATATTAAAAGTACATCTAAATTTTTTCATATTGTTAATTCGATCTAGGAATAATTGTTTATTTCTTATTGTTATCAAATAAGAAACAAAATAGATTTGTTTAACGTCTGTATACACGTGAATTAAGATGATCTTCAACTGTTTGATAAGATATATCCACATCTATGTCAAGATGTGATAGTCAATCTTCAGTTCGATTTTAGCATATGCAAAGGCATGTGGTATTTTGCAAGTATTTTATTATTTTTTGTTCTTACATCATGCGAAGAACTAGATCCTGTTGTTTCTATAGAACAAGGAACCGTAGTTGGCAATTATGTTAGCGATGGCAATTATTTTGAGTTTTATGGAATTCCGTACGCCGGTTCTACATCAGGCATTAATAGATTCAAGGTAAATAAAATAAGTGCAATACACATATTCTAAAAAAACTTTAAAAATACTGGGTTGTTAAAAAAAGTGTTATACAAACTTAAGTGCTAAACTGGTTAAAATGTCCTATACGTACATATAATATATATATATTTTTATTTTGTATACCTATATTGTGGAACAAACAAGTACAGTGTGTAATATCATAATAACTATATAAAAAAGCAAAATCAATTGGTCAAATTACATCATACATAAAAAAGAAATGTAAAAAATTAAGTAAGTTAATTATATTTATTTTTGTAGATATTTTCATTACAAGGTATTTAATTAAATATATCATGTATTTAATTTAGACCCATTAGTAACTATAAATATAATGACAATTGACATCATAATGTATCATATATTTTTAGGGACCGCCACCACCGCCTATATTTGATGAATACTTTGAGGCCAATCGAAAGGACATAAAATGTATAAGAGCTCTGGGAGTGGGATATGAAGGAACTGAAGATTGCTTGGTAGCTAATGTCTTTACTCCAACTCTCGACACTAAACGAAATCTTCCTGTAATGGTATGGGTAAAAGGAAAAGAATTTGATAAAGTTTACGAGCCAGAGTTGTCTTTTCGAAACTTTATGTCAAAAGAAGTGGTAGTTGTTTCGTTAAATTTCCGTGAATCAATATTAGGATTTCTGTGTCTTGGAACCGAAACTGCCCCTGGCAATGCAGGTCTTAAGGATATAATAGCAGGATTGCGATGGGTACGGGAAAATATTGCAGAATTTGGGGGAAATCCCAATGACATTACTTTATTTGGACATGGAAGTGGGGGTGCAGCTGTAGATTTAGTTACTTTATCTCCATTAGCAAAAGGATTGGTACAAAAAGCAATTTCTCAAAGTGGTAATGCATTTGCTCCATGGGCAGTAACTCGTGACAGTTTAAATTCAGCGATTACAGTAGCCAAAGCTCTTGGACATTCCGTGGATAATATAGAAACACTGTCTGAAGTATTTACTAAAATTAGTATTAGTGCATTAATGGGTGTTATTAATGAGCTCGAATTTACCGATAATTCATTAGCATTTGCTCCATGCATAGAAAAAGAACACCTAAATGGAGTGGACCCCTTTCTAATTAAATCACCATATGAAATTGTTACTGAAGGCGATTATTTTCCAATACCGTTTATGATTGGTTTTGTGGATAATGAAGGAACTATCAAGAGTGAAGAGTTAATAGAATCAGATTGGTTGAATAAAATGGTTAATTCTTTTTCTGACTTCATACAATCTGATTTAATTTTTGATTCACTAGAACAAAAAGCACAAGTGAGCAGTGATATTAAATACTTTTATTTTGGAGGACAATCTACAAACGATGTTGGTAGTTATTTGAAATATCATGGCGATACTATGATATCAGTACCTACTATAAGAGAAGTACGTCTACGATCACTTACTTCCTCTGCACATGTCTACCTATATCAATTTTCTTACAAAGGAACATTAGGCGCAAATTTTGTTGGACCTTTGATCAATTTTGTAAAGAGCGCAGCACATAGTGTGGAATTAGCATATTTATTTCATGACGATATTGATGAAGGTAATGTTCCTATTTTAGACCTCACAATTGGAGATATTTTAATAGAACGGTGGACAAATTTTGCTAAAAATGGGTGAGTAACCATATTTATTATCAATTGTAATTGAAATTAATTTAAAAATGCCAAACCGATTTATTGTCGCGGTACTACTTTTGTACGACATTTTGTTTTAAGGATATTATACCGTTCGGCAATATCTGTATACCTTTTCAGTATGAAACAATTAATATTAATATAATAATTAAATAATCATCGACATATTCATCAAGTCAAGTAGATTGATCAAATCTTGTATTTTATTCTTATTTTAGAAGATCTTGTTTGTTTGTTTGTAGCAGTTTATTGTACAGTAAATACAATTAATACAACGATCCTCCCCTCTATCCCAAATGAGTGATTATCTTAATTTTGGCATTACTATTGCACCAAATCCACTTTTAATTAGATATCAGTTAAATAGACTTTGTAGACATATAACGACTAAAAAGACTAAATATAATAGAAAATCATTTATTCAAATAAACTTAATTTAATTACTTTTGAATAGTCATAGTTATCAACTACCATACCTGCCATGTCTGATTACAATTTCTATTATAAATAACACAGTTCTGAGGCGATATGAAAACAAATACAATAGAATAGAGATACCACATCCATTTTAAGTTAGTTGAAAAGCTAGTTAAAGATATGTAGTAACTTGTGTACGTCTTTGTTACATTATCATGACTTATTGATTGGATTGGCACAGGATTTATTTCTTATATATATATATATATATATATTATATAGTTTATTATATAGGTCATTCTTTGAATAAATTTTGCAGTACTTATTAAAATTAATTTTAGAGTCAACAATAACGTTAAATTAATAATAGTATATAGTATTCAACATTGAGTATCGTAATTAGGCAATGTATCGATCAGTATGTTGGCGGTACCCATTTAGTTATTAAAATTTTAGTTTATTTTGTTCTTTTGTCAAAAATGTATGTATAATTTTTCAGAATACCAGTTAGTGAAACTTCTAATATACTTTGGGAGCCGTTTACTATGGAAGAACAAAAATATTTGCGAATACTAGACAGCCATGAAGTTAAAGAAGCAACGTTAGAAATACCTTTGACAAATCCGCTTGGTGAAACAATGACCTTATGGGATGAAATGTATGAACTATATTCTATGGATGCCAGAGGAACGTGGGAAATAAACAAAAGGAATGAAGAAATTTCGGAAGATGAAGACGTGGATGAAAATGAGGATGGAGATGTGGACGTAGATGAGGAAGAGGAATATGAAGAGGACGAAGACGAAGAGGAGGAAGACGATGAAGAGGAAGAGTTGGAGGAACAGGAAGGTGATGATGATGAGGAGGAAGACGGTGATGAGGAGGAAGAAGACAAGGATGAGGAGGAAGACGGTGATGAGGAGGAAGAAGACAAGGATGAGGAGGAAGACGAGGATGATAAGGAAGACGAGCATGAGGAGGAAGACGAGGATGAGGAGGAAGACGAGGATGAGGAGGAAGACGAGGATGAGGAGGAAGACGAGGATGAGGAGGAAGACGAGGATGAGGAGGAAGACGAGGATGAGGAGGAAGACGAGGATGAGGAGGAAGACGAGGATGAGGAGGAAGACGAGGATGAGGAGGAAGACGAGGATGAGGAGGAAGACGAGGATGAGGAGGAAGACGAGGATGAGGAGGAAGACGAGGAGGAGGAGGAATCCGAGGATGAGGAGGAAGACGAGGATGAGGAGGAAGACGAGGATGAGGAGGAAGACGAGGATGAGGAGGAAGACGAGGATGAGGAGGAAGACGAGGATGAGGAGGAAGAAGAGGATGAGGAGGAAGACGAGGATGAGGAGGAAGACGAGGATGAGGAAGAAGGAGAGGATGAGGAGGAAGAAGAGGAAGAAGAGGAGGGAGAAGAGGAAGAAGAGGAAGAGGAAGAAGTGGAAGAGGAGGAAGAAGAGGAAGAGGAGGAAGAAGAGGAAGAGGAGGAAGAAGAGGAAGAGGAGGAAGAAGAGGAAGAGGGAGAAGATGAGGAAGAGGAGGAAGAAGAGGAAGAGGAGGAAGAGGAGGAAGAGGAGGAAGAGGAGGAAGAGGAGGAAGATGAGGAAGAGGAGGAAGATGAGGAAGAGGAGGAAGAGGAGGAAGAGGAGGAAGAGGAGGAAGAGGAGGAAGAGGAGGAAGAGGAGGAAGAGGAGGAAGAGGAGGAAGAGGAGGAAGAGGAGGAAGAGGAGGAAGAGGAGGAAGAAGAGGAAGAAGAAGAGGAGGATGAGGATGAGGATGAGGATGAGGATGAGGATGAGGATGAGGATGAGGATGAGGATGAGGATGAATATGAGGAAGCCTCAGGACAAGGTACCGACGAACCTGATTCAGCATCAACTGCTGTAGGATATACATTAACTATAACATCAATATTCGCAGTATTAAATAAAATCCATTTATCTCGGATACTTTCATAGAAAGTACTTGGAAGATTACTACTAGTGAGTGGAGTGGATACATAAATACCAACCAGAATTTACCAAATAACGGTTGTCTTGTATAATTTTTTTTGTAGAAAATTATTTCAAAGGCTAAATATATTAAGACAAACATAAATAAAGATTTAAACACTTTTATTATCATCTTCATCATCTCATTTATATTTTTATAAAATAAAGAAGATAAATACTGACTTTACTTTTATTACCTTTTTCATCATAATATTAAAACGTGACAAAAAATTTTGATACCTCTTTTTACGAAAATGCGCGAACGAATTTCTACTCATTAGTATTACATAATTAGCATTCTGCACACCTTTTGTGTGTAAGCTGTAAGTGTGCGAAATTTCATACTCCTTCGTCCTCCCAATTTTTGTAAAAAGAGTACAATTTTTGCCTCAAATATTAATAATGATAAAAGAAAGAATACATTACTGTACTCCAATTTGGAATAAACGTATTAAAAAATATATAACTATTTTGTATCACATTAATATATTAAATTTGCTATAAATGCTGTAAAAATTTCATACAGTCTATAAAAAGAAGATATACTTAACAACAAATTATTTGAAAACGTCTTAATATTTTGAATTTATTGCTTATTCAAATAATCCATCCATCAGACACAATTTAACTTTGTTATAAACAAGAGCACGTGCAATAAATTAATTTTAGAAATTTATAGCCCAATACGAGATGCCCCCTTAGCAATGTTTATATGAACAACCATCGGCGACCATAAAACTGTTGGGAACCATTAATACTGCAAAAGTGCAGATTTGCAGTCTGCGTTTAATGTTTCGTAGCAAGCTGCAACAGCTGTGTTCTTGCATTGAATGCACTAATTCTTATTAATATCTCATGATTCTCTTCTTGCTGTATATATCACGGTGCTGCTCGCAATTTGGGTAAAAGTGTCCTGTTTTCATTTGGTATCCAAAAATTTTACCAAAAAAAGACAAAAATCATAAGGGTAACTCTTTCTCACCCATTTCAGCCATCAAGTTGGCTTTTTTTGTAAGATTTCTTTAGAGGGCTAGCGCATGAGTGGTGCCACAAGCATCGCAATGAAGTCCATTTTGCAGGTATGTAGGCGACGATTGCCACTTACCATCAAATGAGCCGCAAGCTTATTTGCCTCTTTATTCTTATTGAAGTATTAGTAGAGCTCTGAGTAAAGCTAAGCTACTAAATGATTGTTACTTTTATAGAGGCCCGTAGCATAATGTTAAACATACGCAAGAGGATTTTTTTTGTTATTTTGGATGATCGTTATTTCATTGTCTGTTAGTATTTTTCGGAAAAATACCAAACTATGCGAATACAACCCTCCAATTTATTGTATTGTATTGGCTCTACATGGTACATTATTTGGTCAATCAATCAGTTAACCAATTAATGTAATTTCGATTAGAAGTATCATATGTCGTGGTTAGTAACTAATAACAAATATATAAAATGTATCAGAGAAAATCATTGATAATAATTTGATAGACTGATGTACTTACTCTATCTGTATTATCAGAGATAAAATTTCAAAAATATTATATAATCAAAGAGTACGTCACATGATACTGGATAGGAGATTTTACCAAGGGCGGATCTGATCAAACGATCTGTTTTATTACAAGGTCTACTACAGTCTATGAGAACTTGCAATACCACAAGTAGTCGGTTATTAGAGTAGGTTACTACGAGTAAATAGGAGACTAAAGGGTCTTTAGTGTACTGTTAAAAACATGAATACTTTTTTTAATAGCTGTATTTCATTTTTTTATACCACAGGCAAACGAGTAAACGGCCCATGTGGACGATTACCGTAGGCTATGAAAATGAAATAATGTGTTTTCATAAAAATTCTTCATAAAAACCTATATGTATAAAATCATTGAAAGAATGTGAAAGGGTATCACTTCATAAAAGATGAGTATATTTACCTAATATTTTATTGATGTTTTGTTCATACAATATTATCAAGACAATTTGTATGAGAGAACTTGTTAGAATGATATACACATACCTGATGAGAACATAAAATTTTAATTAAAAAAAACTTATATTGATATAACTAACATATTAAAGATTATGATTTTATTTCATTACAGGCGTACTGATTTAGTTTCATTTTCGTCATTACAGGGTAACCCAGTTGGAACAGCTAGAATATATAATTTAATAAAAATATTGACTAATGTAAGCTAAGGTACACTTAACTTTATTGGCCCACAGGTTTTATTGGCCCTTTCATTTCAGTATTTGGGCCCAAGTGAGTACTTGTGCATGTGACTGATTTGCTGAGCACACGTGCTAGCCACGTCGATTTTTAATGCTACCCGTTGTTTCAGATGTTAGGATAGCATGGATATACTTAAGTAGATATAATTTTGAAATTATTTGGATACCGTACACTCACAATGACTCATGTAAAATTATCATAAATCTAGAGTTTACTGTTAATATCTATAAAGAGTTTTTTTTTTAATTTTACACAACGAAATTAATAGAAAACTTAAAAGTTTACTATCCGACTCGGTCATGAGTTTCTCTGGCTTATCTTATATAAGATTGATATTAATAAAAAATGACATATAAAGGGTATGGCAGTTTTTATTGATATCCATATAAGTCAATTAATTGGCCATGATTAGCTAACTGACCTGACTTCATACTCAAGTAATGTTAACTGGTACCTCCAGGTATGCAATATTAGATTGGTGGATGTACCATTCCATCCAATTCCATTCCATTCCAATGAAATGGTTCTCCAGTATTTAAAATCTCCTCTGTCCATTCTACTTTGGGTACATACATAGAGGCGTACTTTGGTATAAATATGCATATCTTTTAATAACACCTGGCTAAGCTTCTAACCAACATTATAAAGATGCAACTTTGTGAATATGGATCTTTCACGCAAAAACTACTGAACGGTTTGTTATAAACCTTTACAGTAATATAGTTTTCATATCGGAATAATATATCACCTATAATAAAAATATATTCCGTAAATTGGGCTAAATATAATGATAGATATCTAGTAAGTATTATGCAGATGCTGTCGCGCACGTAGGTTAGTATCCTAATAATATAGGTCATATTTTGAGTTATATTAGTACGCTAATTAATCGCTACGTGATCTGACTTCATGCTCACTTTATCAGCCTTCATTTGTGCTCCGCTAATATAAACACAGTTAGCACAGGCGGGTGGATCATTTCATTATTAAAAAACGGGTCATGTCCATATATTGCTTACTGCTATGGGCACGGTGCACTAATAGGCGCCCGCGCCCGTGCCGCAGCCGCCTCTTTCGGGCCATGTGGCACTACATCCTGCCGCCGCCCCCGCGCTCACCTTGTTCAGGTTACGACTGAACGCTGCGCCACGGAAGGGGAACTTGCGAACAATTGTGTCTACTTTATTTTTTTTTTATTATAAAACCAACAGTTTGTAATCATATCAACAGTACATTTCTAGAGATCAATAACAGGTTTTCAGCGACTTAACACAACAAATAAAAAAGAATAAAGATTAGAGGTAATTACATACATACATATCAAATTATAATTATTATATTATAATAATTACAAGTACATATCAAATTATATCTATACTATGTTATAAATCTCAACCATACAGGGAAATATACTTGTTATTTTTCGTCTATTAAATGTTATATTGCACACTTTACTTTAAAAAGATAAAGATTTAAGAAAAAACTACCCTATGTCCGTCCTTGGTATGCATCCGTTAAGTTGTTTAGTTGTAAAATGGTATCAAACATATATACTTTAACTTTACAATATGAAAATGAAGAATGCATTTACAGAAATTCAAATATTAGGTAATATGTATTATTGTAATCGAGTTTTTAAAAAGATCTTCGTAAATTCTATAATCAAAAGTTTATCAAATGAATAAATGTATTTTGATACGATTCATTCTATAATACTAGGGGGTTCCCGGGTGTCATATAACGGGTGTATAAACTTTTCGGAAGAAATTTATAATTTTTTTTTCTGCAATAATGGCAAAGGAAAAAATGTTATCAATTTTCAACTTTGCTTCTTTGGAAAAATTATTCAATGTGATAAATATTATGACAAAGTTTTGGTTTTGTATACCCTTTACGATTAATCCTGTATATTTTTGTCGGAAGCCATTTGCCTGCATAGTTTATATTCTCATAAAACTGATTATGGTGTCAAATCGTAAAAAAGCACTCTGCGCTCATTAACAGATCGTAAGTTTCCACTATTATGTGTGCACCGAAGAAAGATCGATTCATCAATCAAAATGTCATTTTTTGTATCATTTGGTTATTGGTTTCCAATGACTTGTGTGATGTATGATTTTAAAATGACTCATCGATGATAGATTCAAGTAAGAAACAATCCGGCCAGTCTTAAATTACTCAGTTACTTTTTAATATAAATATATTTATTTTCAATACAAATATCTGTATTGTACGGGGATCGAATCCGCAACCTTCTATAACTTTTACTCAATTAAATGTTAAGTAAAGTAATTTCTTTTATAGACACAAAATGTTATTTAATGGTATATTTATAAAACTAAAGATATATACATCATACAGATATAATATACCTTTAGTTTTATGTTTAGTTAAACATAAAACTAAAGGTATATTTATGAAAATCAAACTAAAGATTAATAATAAGAATTAATAAGAAAATTAATAAATCAGGTGATTTGAAGATAAAAAAACCGCAATAAATATAAATTAAAAAGAAAAAAGTTTCTTACAAAGGGTGAGAAATGTGTAATAAATTTCAAAACTCATTTCGTCAGCATGGCAGTTTAGCAAATTCTTGGAGATTTCAAACTCACATAAAAAGCATCACGTTCCATAGCTTTCACAACTTACATAGGGGCGTAAGACTTGTTATTTACTTCACAACATAGACTTTGTACCGTGGAAATGCAATATTTGTCAAGTATGACAAATATTA